ATCTGCACTTTTCCTCCCTCGCGTTTCACGCAACCACCATTTTTTTATGACGGTGGTTTTGTAACCATGAATGCGGTTGCGTGCGTCGGCACTCTGCGTCTATTTTTGCTCCATCCCGTAAGCAATCGTGACCGCTTGGAAAAAATGCGTTCACACGAAATCATATTATGACTACAAACTCATTGTACTTTGATACTTCAAGTAAAATTATGTGTACGTACTTTACAGTCTAATTGGTCAACCAAATGATGGAGAAACGTTGTGGGGGGGGGTTAAATTGTAATCACTGTGAATAGTCATGAATGATAACTTGATGACATATTGCCAATTTGTTATCATTCTTGTCGGAGGTCTTGGGAGGGGCAGTCGACATGATAAAATGACTGCATTGATAGCTGCAATGACCGGTTTAGAAACGGGGCTGCACAGGACAAGTGGTGGTCACACACAGGTGGCCGCGATATGGCAAAACGGCTGAAAATGAATGGTTAAGACGGACACGTTCTTTCCACCGCTTGTCGTGCAGTCCCGTAACTCAGTCCAGGTTTTATGTCTACAAAGATTCACCGTGGGAGGCCTTGGGGGCGAATCCCGCGGTTGCCACTACAGCCATGTAGTCATGAGTTCCATGAAACAATTCATTTCTCTTTCGAAGGTCATCGTGCTCCACCTAAAGTTTCCTCTAGATTTAAAAATCACAGGTTTAAATCAGTTTGCTATTTAAAAGGAAGTCTTCTGGAATCAAAGCACGTGCTCGAAAAAAATACTCAAAAACCTCTTCGAGTGTTACCTCCCTTAAATATCACGACTTGTCAAAGCGCACCTCCATTTAAAGTTGATTATTACAGGGGTGCGTGGGGGGCGCCCTTCGGGTCATGCCCCCTATGTGAAATTTTGAATGTATAAACCTATTTATAAACCATTATTTTAGGCTGCTTTGTGCCCCCCAAAAAAGATAGATGCACCCCATCCCCAGAACTTCACCCCGGTTGTGCCTTTGCTCCGGTGAAATAAACGATGAAGACGAACGAAAAAAAAAAACGAATAGGAAGCTATAAATGGTTGCACTTTTAGACACACGTGAGACATCACAAGTAACCAAGAGGGGCATCTTTTCTTGGAAGGGGTCCAAGGGCGCCCTCCTACGCTGCTAGAAACAAACGAAGTGTTGCCGTTTTATTTTGTCTATCGTTACTCACTTGGCAGCGTCCGTGTAACGTCGACCCATCGTGGGTGAATCGTGTCGACACATCTTGTGAAATTATTGTCTGGTTACATGACAAGACGGACGCGGGACGTGCAGAAAAAAAAAACCCAACGTACAGAATTCCAGACGGTTGTCTGAGGGGGCGTGGCTAACTCACAAGCGACGATGCATGGGTCGATTACCAGTGAGTTGGGCATAATCAGGTTTGAGCTTTAAATCGACAGATGTACTTATAATAAGATAAAGTGAAACCAAACCGTGTATGTTTACCATGCCTTGGTATACGCAAACCACACAGTAGTACTTGTTGACGCACTCTTTCTGTTCCTGGAACGATTCGACCTTGAGAAGTACTGTTTCGACATGTGCGGCAGAGTCAAGGTTACGCTAAACGCTTACCGGTACTATTCATTTTGCCTATTGTTTAATTTTGTTATGCGAAACAACTGCGACGGCTGTTACATGTATGTTTGCCCACTGTGTACGCGCAAAACCTACTGCGGCACTGAATGGCTTGGGCACGCATCTCAGTTGATTTTCGCCATGGCGTTCGTCATTGCATAGCTTATAAAATGCACTGATTTCGATACTCAGGGGTCCCCAGATATAGCAAGGCCAGTTTTTCTTTAGAAGGAAAATGCATTTCCTTTTGCCGCACCCTGCATGAACAGCCGTCGCAGTGACAATGCAACATGAGTTTAAAAATAACGAAATAACATGAGCCGGCATTATGATTAATAAGATGTCTACAGACAAAAGTACAGTTGCCACAGTGTGACGTGATGTGTACGTGCACGTGGTACCGCCAACTAATCATACAGGTGGTGATTGCCTTCACCAAGGGGATATTTGCCAGCTCTATCATCACAATTAAAGCAAACAAAAAAGCCAAAGTAAACAAATGTTTAAGAACAATAGCAAAGTGTTTTGAGAAGCCTAGCTTTTAACTCACCACAGAATGCTTGTTGGACCATTTTCAACCTGATAAATCATGCATTTAGGGTACGTTTTGGTTAATTTAAGTAAGCGACCAAAGGTTCTTTTTGTGGCGGTTTCTTTAAATGTGATGCCCTATTCCAAAACCATGCTGAAGTAGGTAACTTCGACGTTTGACAAATCACCTTCCATGCTGTTAATTTTCATTAGAAATTTCATTTGATCTGATTGTACTTTACTTTAGAGACGCAGATGACGTTATGAGCCCTTTTCAGAGATAATTTTTAAAGCCATGAATCCCATGAATCGTTTGCAACGGCTGCTCCTGCGTGCAGTGTTGACCCAAGGGTGGCGCATGCCCGAGGGGACTAGACTCGCATCCCTTCGTTATCACCCGAAGGAAGAAGGTAATCACGCTGCAGTCCTTTGTAAATAAAAAGGTGTTGCTTCACGGACGATTGAGAAGGAGGACGAGAACAAAGCAGAACAGGACGCACCAAAAATGTGAAAAAAAAGAAAAGCAAGTAAACGGGTTTACAAACAATTAAATAGTCATCTAAAACAAAATGACGTCAGGATGACGAGGACTGCAACTGCAAGAGAGGGAACCTCAAACATTCAAGACTGATTCCAGATTTCAGACTTGGTGGGTTACTGTCTTTTCAAAAGACCTTCGGAAGGATTTGCACGAGAAAATTGAACCACATGTTCAAAAACTGGTTTTAGACTTTGAACTTGTTTCAAGCCATTTTTTTTTCAGTTTTATTTAATATTGTAAATTCCCTCGACGTTCCAAATTGCTGATCGTAGGAACTAGAGTCCATGTGTATGCTGACCCGGAAGGGTAACGTTTTCACAATGAAATTAGCAAGCCCGTGGTAGAGAACACCGCGACGTCATTACGGAAAAGACAAGGAAGGTGGGTCTAGATATCAGATTATACAGAGCCCGGAAAAAAAAAGAATCTCATAGATACGAAAAGCTTTTCCTGGGGCTCGCAGAGTTGGAATTCCTTCTTGTGTGCCCATCGTGGCGTGGAAAAATATTTCGGTTCTCTTAGCTAATCAAGTTGAAAGGAACATCTGTGGCGGGGGAGACCAACATCTATTGACAATTTCACTGTAACTTACGAGCCACACCAAATTAAAACCGATCACAAAATGAACAAAACTCGATCATCTTGATTATATTGTTAGGTTGTGAGGGATCTCTACATGTTCACGAGAAGGCTTACTTTCCAGCTAGGATAATGTAGACGTATACAGTATACGACTAGGAGTATTACGCACTCAAATGTTTCAGCAATCACTCTGGAGTGCTATTTTCATTACCTTTCCAGTTTCAGTGTGTTTCGTCCTACAAACCAGACACCAATTTACAATTTAGCATAATATGTAAATTTTGCCCTTGGAAAAGATTCTGCTGCATAATGCTCTTTTTTTCAGATCTGTGGTCAGTATATACAGTGCAAAACGTGTTTGATTTAACTCTTGAAATCAATATTGGACAACCCCGGACTGGTCATGTTCTGGACATCTCCCCCCCCCTTTCAAAGTCCGGTATAAATTCGGGACGATGCATGTTTTCTAATTCCAACTTAGTAGATGCGTCAAAACACGCTCCTAAGTGTCTTTCAACTTGCTCTTATTATTGGGCAGCATAGCAAATATTTAACACACTCCTTTACACTGGGGCTTAAGCCTCACGTATGAGTTCAGACATTTCTCATTCGGTTAAAAGGGTAAACCCATGCGAGAGTGAACCAATGTGAATAGCTGCATTACAGCGTGCGCCATCTACAGGGCAAGCACGAGTGGCGCCGACGTGCAGTGGAGTTTGAGTATTTCACAGGTCTGCTCGTGCGGGTCTGGTTAGAGGCTCTCCCTGCACTTGAGCGCCATAATGTTGGTCCCACTAATTCAGATCACTTGATCAGCAATGTATGCAACTTTTGCCAAGACTGGTTGATGCGTAGCCCCAACTGTGCTCTACAGAGAAATGTGATGGCCTCCAAGTAAAGAAATGACGAATCAATCGCCTCCAAGTGTAAAAGAATGGTCTCCACAATATACGACTGTCAGGGGGTAATTAGAACCCCATTAATGGCACTGTCCTTTCCCCTATAATCCCGACCTTGGTAAGCAAACAGGAGATACATTTCAGAAATGAAGAAAATCATGCATATTAGATGAGCCCGGCACTTTAAATTCCTAAACGGCGAAGTGGTACACCGACGCGCTAGGATCGAGCTGCCATCCATAAAAATCGACGTGCAAAATAGGCGATCTGGTCTCAAGGCCAGAGGAGTTACCCTTCGAATTTCGTGTCGCATTCCCAAAACCAGGGACGGGCATCATCACTCAAGAGATCGCATATGAATCTCTACAGAATCAAACAAGAAATGTATGAAGGGGCAATTTTCACTTCCCAGGAAGTGCGTTTTTAATAGTTAAATTTAACATGCATACTGTCACACCACATAGAATAGGACGTTTACTTAAAATCATGTGTTACTGTGGTTATGAGGTTCTTAGAAAAACAGTTTCACAATTAAGCCTCTATGATTCAAAGAACAATAAGAGTTCATTTGTTTTGAAATCAAAATAACCCATTCAACGTTTAACGTTTTCTTAGTTAGTCACCTGAATCCCTTCGCACACAGAGTGGAACTTATCACTTGGATTTTTACAAAATGTACATAAAAACACATGGAAACGACACAAAAAGATCTCGCTGCATAAATCTGAAGGAAAAAAGGATTCGGACTCCAATTCTTCATGAATTTACAGGAAACAATTGAAATGACACATAATCCGTAAATCGGTGGCCCAATTAGAAATTAAGGTTGCCATCCGAATACGGGTTCTGCGTTTCCGAACCCCCCCCAACAAGTTTTGGTGAGAGTGTCCTAAATACACGCCTTCTTCATGCCGCCCTTTAGATACTATAATAGACGTTACAACTCACGATCGAACGCGTTACACATGGTTTATCAACACGAGTGACATTCACGATCGTGACACACTTGAAACATAGACGTCACTCTAACGCAAGACAGCCACTTGCCCAACAACACCAACAAAAGAAAGCAAGCGAGAAAGTGTTACCAAACGTAAAATTTTAAGCCCTGCCGTACAAAAATGAGCAAAATATAAAGAGGAAGGGGCATGTGCAGACAAGCAAGATACAAAAACATGAATATTTACCAGCGCCACTTCCACAAAATCAAAACCGACAGAGGTAGATTGTTTTCAATACAAATTGTCCATCTCGAAGCTGACTTTTCCATGACTATATGTATAAAGTACAGATCTTTAACCAAGCTAACTACCGCACTACCATGCATCGACCTAATAAAAACTACACTTTTAATCTTTTAAACATAAAACTTCAATTTCCTCTTTTACTTCCAACTTTTGCATGCAACTTTGGAGCGAAGTATAATTATTATCAGCTGCCAAGTTATTGCCCAGTTACAAAAATACTAATAAGGGGCTTTCTGGGTGTGAAAGTCGTCATTTGACGAGCATGTGTAAGCAGCATGCACGCAGTTTTGCTCCATCTTTGGTATTCTCAATGCTAGAAGCAGCTGCCTTGGAAATTCTGTCCCGGAGCTCTGCAGGCAATCCGATCTGTATGATGAGACTTTGGCCGTGTCCGAATGACTTGACTGCGGCTAGAAAGTACGCACGAGCCTACGGTTGTGGTGGCAGCAACCAGTTCCCATAAAGCTTGTGTAATTTCAATTCGCAGCCAAGTGATTTGGAGGCGGGCTTTGACTCCACGAAAAAGTATTCTGTCCATATTGAGCATGTCTTCAGTCTCATAGAAAGACAAAAAAACGTGTAGGGTAGGAGGCTCCGTGAGAAGATTCGGTGTAGCATGAAATGTGGACTTCTGTGAAATGTGGAGCCCATGACCGCCTTGCGCATGCCTTTCATTCCCAGACTCATTGTCAGCTTAACAAGGCATGGCGGTGAGAAAGGAAATAGTCGCCAGTTTTCAGTCCATTTTCACAATGACACAGGATTCAGTAAGTTAAAATTTGACTTGACTTCTCGATCGCAGAAAATGGATTGGCGTGCTTGGGGCTGCCACGGAATGAACTGTAATTTAAGTGAAATGCATCAACAAAGCAAAATCAAACTTTGTTCGAATTTTGCCCACAAAACCGACGAGTTTAGAGAGAAAACACGTGTCGTGGACACAAACCTATATTGTGAAACATCTCCGTTGATTGTGAACATGAAAAAGCCCGAACTTTCACTTACAGTGTGGAATCGAGGAAACAATACAGATTTTGAGTGGTAAGCCGCACAGCTCGCCCAGTATAACAACTACTTTCATAAATGTCAACAGCCCAAGCCAATTAGAAACCCCTCCCAATTTTGATCGACCTTCTCTTTTTAAAGGTGATATTTTTAAAAAAAAATCATGTGACAAGACCGAACGATGTAACAGCCACGTACAACGTTTTGTAGCGACTAATCTGGGACTATGAGTTTTATCAACTCAGTTTTCTGGCAAATCTGTCACTAACGTTCAGTTAAAGGCAGCCACATAGGACAGGAATCCTGACGGCAGGGCCAAGACTAAACGATATACACAGCCCAACGAGTCTCGTGTACCGGCCTAAGTTGGTTCGACTTACAACGACACTGCGTCTAAAACAATAAAGCCAACTTTCCTACAGACGTCGGCTGCAACCTGAAATCATAATTATTCCCAGATGAATAAAACTTAATATCAAACATTAAAAAGACTGTACCCGCCAATTGCATTTCCGTCATCAGCTGCAAAAATACGCACCTCTTGTACTGTGGGCTTTGGTAGTTATGTTCAAGCATAGAAAAAAAAATACACTTATGTCTGTCATAATTATGTACATGTACATACTGTGCGGAGGATATTGAACAGTGGAAACGATACCCCAAAACCAATGAAATACTAGTCTAGGCATTCGACAACAACCAAGACAAAATGATAAATAAACAATCAAACAATGCTCAGGTGCAACGAATTTCACAGCAAAATGGATCACCTGTGAGATCAGAATTCAACCGGTGTAATCAAGCTGCAACAAGTACGAGCTATTTCAACGATGATACTTCAACAGTTGTCGGATAAACACTATCATAATGAACCCCCGAAAGGGTATCTAGCCAGATACCAGCAACTATTCTAACAGCGAGGAAATTGATCATGTTGGTTCTGTATTCATAAAACTGAGCTTTAATTATTGTCAAATAGCCTTTCCAACTCTTCATTATTTTCTTCCTTGTGTTGGCAGAATCGTGTTTTTTTTTCTTCCCCACCGCATTATTATTTTGAGTGAGATACGTGGGTAGTCCACGCATAGCAAACATAGGCCTAAACAGGCAATCGAAATAGAAACCACACTGCTCTCGCTCTCAATGTTTCTATGCAACGTCGTAATGAGGGAACAGCCTGTTTTGTTTCCACGTTATTCGACATTTTCAACATGCTGCTCATTTTTATCTCACACTGTTCAGTATGGCGTGTACACCGTTGTTGAGGGCAACATGATCTTCGATATCTCGTGTTGTTTCCATTTACATTTTTCGACAGCATTTCGTATAACCTTCAGAATCTTCATTATTTGACGGTCGCATTATCCAATGTTACTGATGTCTGATAAAACAACCGCGACCCTTGACTACAATGTATGTTATAAATTGGAGAAATCCCCTTTCAATACGCAAAATCTCACAACAAACTACGCGCTCAACACGCGCTTCAAACGTAACCGGTGGGTATACAGAACGTTTATGATACACAACCTCATATACAAGAAAAAAAAGACATTAACAACTTAAACAGAAATGCAGCAATTTTTAGAACTAACAGTCAGAAAGAGAGCTGCGAACAATACTCCAATAACATTTCATCGATTTCAATATGCAACTGAGCGGCTGCGTGGTGAGAACTTTACATTGAAATGTAGCGCATGGTCTTCTACTTCTGTGACACGGCACCCCTTGTCGACGACACGGGATTTAGCCTTTATGGCCACTACAAGAAACCTACTCCCCCCCCCATCCTATAGAGACCTGCCAGGGAACTAGTCGTCAGCTTTCACACTGTGATCGCAATTATCATAATTACTTTTTTAACAGACTTTTTTTTTAATTATTTTAATTTTTACCTATTAAGAAGAACAAACATATAAAAGACCAACGTTCGTTTTAACGACACATTTCCGCTCACAGCGAACATAAGGTAGGGGGATTAATAAAAGCTGTAACTGAATTTCATGGATCTTTGCGTTCAAACGCTCACAACTTTGAAGACTTCACATCCATATCAAAAAAATGTGGGTATACTTTACATAAAAAAACAAACCTGTAGATGACCCAGTGAAGGAATATTTTGGACAATCTTTTTTGCTACAGTTCACAACAACACCGCCAATAACGTCTCAAACCCATGAATACATAAAGAACGTAATTGTGAAATCAAAGTTTGTACAAGTCATGTTAATTTTGACAATACACTAGAGCGGCATTGGAGACTAACATATTTAAATGAAGTACTTCAAATTCGTAATTTGTATATCATGTTAGGGTTATTTGTTACTTAACATACCTTGGAACAGTTTTTTAAAAATCATTAGAGCGTCATAAAAATAGATGTCATTATGTCAGATGTATACAGTTTAAAAATGGTTTAATACGTAAATTGAGAAGGGAAAAAATCAAGCTGCAGACTCTTTGCTCAGTTTCGCTCTGTGGTTAATTAATAGCCTTTGTACAACACGCGTATGCTCGTGAAAGATCGGAGGGAAGCAGCCGAGCTACAGCAGAGCATTCAGGTTTTGGTGGCCGGTAGCTTGGGCGACACGGAGAGCGGCTGGGCCGGCTTCTGTGGGCAGCACGAGTGCATGATGGCCTTGAAGAGGAGCGGCGCGTTGTCGAAGGACACGTCGCGGATCTTTCGAGCCAAAAGCCTGACGTCTGGCAGCATCAGCAGCAGGGCGCGAAAGCGGTCGTTGGCCAGGTTGTTGTTGAGCTGCACGTGGTCGTGGAGGACGTAGTAATGCTGCTGGCTGAGCTCCTCGACCACCGAGGGCTCAACCAGATCTCCAGCATCTGCGGGTCGGGGGTGAAAATAACCGGAGAAATATTTAACCGGGAATTTTGTTGGTTGTGGTAATTTTTCATTCGCAGTTTCACACGTCACTTCTTTCAAGCACTCTTCAAAATTACATTTTTATTTTTGCTGGACATAAATGGTGATTCGAGGTACAGATAGTTAACGTGAAAAGCGAATAACCTTACCTGAACAAGTACAAAGCACGAGCATTTTTAACATTAATTAAATGGCAATGGTGAAAGTGTTTGTGAAATGGAGCGATGTTCTTACCTGGGTTGAGAAAGTTAATGACCTTTAAGCAGAGGTATTCTTGGACGCTAACTCGGAGTAACTGGTACTTGTTGACCACAGCACTGGCTTTATCGATGATTTCCAATCCGGTCTGACCGAAACGTCGAAGCTCGTCTTCACTCGGGATGTAGTTGTTGAGGAGGGCTGCCAAGTCGGAGAAGATAGCGGGAGGCTGGCTGTGTAGAGCAGCCAGCAGGATGGTCTCGCACCAGGTGCTGGTGAGCAGGGCCGTGATGTCCTGGACGGTGAGCTTGCAGGCGAAAGGCAGCCGCTTCACCCACTGGACCTGGTGGTGGATCATGCGGTCCAGGAGGAGGCACAGCAGCTCGAAGACCTCGTCATAGCCGGCCGGCTTGTCGGAGGGCAGGTGAAAAGGAAGTGTGAGGGGCTCCTCGGGCTCGGCGATGATGAGCACCTCGATCTCCGGTAGCATGGTCATCGGAGCCAGCTGGTGCAGCGAGCTCTGAGAGCTGGAGCGACGGCTCTTCCGGGGACGGCCGTTGAACGGCTCTCGCGGCGCGCCACCGCCCGGGTCGGCCCCCGGGGACGGCCCAGGGAAGGTGAACCGCTCAGCTGCTTCCGGGGAGAAGTTGGTGTTGCTCCCCATGGAGGTGGGAGAGAACTGGTCGGAGATGCCGTCGCTACGGGTGGGGCTCCCCGTCTGCTCGCCTGTGGTCCGGCCAGACATCATGTCCTCCCTCTCGTACTCTTCCCCAGTCATGATGCGCTCAATGTCCTCATCTGTCAACTAGAAAGAAGAGGCAAAAGAAGCGCGTTAAGATGCGCTGTGGGACGTCCTAAGGTTGCCCTACAACTAAATAAAGATGAATACGGAAGATTTTCAGACAGAAGCTGGCAGAAAACGGAAGGAGTAATGAACAACAAAGAAGGAAGATTAGATTAACATCCAAGAAGATCTATACATAATGGGATCACTCTAGTTACTTTTATAACAGAACTGCACAATAAAATATACTAAAACGGACGACAAGAATGTCGTGTTATCATGATGACTGTTTCTTTCCTTCTGAGTAGGAAAAAAAGGGGGAGACAATAAGAAAGTAAAGGTTGCCTCAATATTCAGAGCTTTGAATTCACAGTGGGTGGTTTTAATCGTCTTCAATAAAACCGAGTACAAAGGGCCTCGGTGCATCTCATTCGCTGCCAACGCAATTATGTCCCTTTCCTGATAATGGAGATTGGTCTGGCATGGTCAAATATGAACCCTATTGAGCATGTCGAACAGCAGTGGTTTAGATGTTAGTCTAAATATTGGAAATTCCATGGACTGATTCAAAGGATATGGCTGCAACTGTGAATTTGGCCGGCTGCCAAATGATGACGATGATTGAATTGATCATACGTTCTTTAATGCCACGTGGGTACCTTAAATGGACAAAGTTTGCCACCTGACAGAGAAAGTCCCCCAAAATTATATGAGACACTGCTTATAGTATACACACTGCGTGACTGATTGTACGAAAATGTTAAACGCTATCCATGCCCGAGGCATTTTTCCGTTTCGATCCAGAAATCGTTTCGCGCTTGCGCACATAATTATCCAATCGCTTTTTTGAAGTTCCAGGTGGCTGATAATTTGAACAGGTGGGTGCGGGAACGCGGGCAGAGAAAATTCAATAAGACGAGAAGGCAGGGAGAGCCAGCACGGTGACAGGGAAACTCAAAAGAAAGCCCGCGAAATCCTGATTCAATAATCCAATTTCGCAACGTGCGTGTAAATACAGACGGCAACGGTTGACCAAGGGGAGTAGGGCCGAAGTGACTAGGAGGAGAACGGCTCATAGTCCAGTCAGCTGGGAAGGGAAATCAACCGGGATTAGTCCTTCTTCCGGGGAGGCATCTCCGGACTTAATCACCTCAAGGTTCGACGAGAAAGAGGACAGCGACTGCCGGGAATCTCTGGAGAGAGGTGCCCAGTGGCTTGGACCAATCAGCCAGCGCCGTTTGCCCCAGACGCTAATTTGTGCGCCATGTTGGTTTCCGCTGACCAATCACCGCCGCGGATGCGTGTTACGTAACATCCAATCAAGCGCTGCTCATCGTCTGCCCCTGGGGCCTACTGGGCATTTCACAGGCGCCATCTTGTCGCACAAACTTCGCCCAATCGTCGTACCGGCACAGTTATTTTAAACTCACCGGAAACCGGTGATCCAGATTCCAGACCAAAGGTATTTGTCAGACGAACTTCACAATTGCCCAAGTCCTGTCCATGAGACATAACCTTACACAAACAGAGGGCAGTGCAGTGTTGATCACAATCGACAATGATGGCGCTATTCACAAGAGATGACCTCAATCCCCAACAACTGATCAGTAAACCTTCTCAAGTCACGCCCACATTCCCTACTCTATTAATCAGTCCATGCTGACAACCTGAAAGGAAAAAATAGCTTTCAGGCCTACAAAATATTTCGGCAACTCGCGTCTTCTTCGGCCCATAACTGCAGAATTCTAAATTTAAACCACCATGGACTACCCGGTAATTATGACCTCAATCGGGCAAGCTCACGAGTCGAAGGAGGTCAGGATGTGCCTCTGGCATTTCGTGTCATTATTTATAGCCAATGGCAGCTTTTTCAAAAATGAGAAATATTAGGCAAGACATCATACAAGTTGCGGAAGAATCGGGCGCCTTCACAAGCACACGTCTGCTGCCCCTGCATTTTTTCTTGTTTCACGAAATTTTCTGTTGAATTTCTTCTGTTTATCACCTATCGTGGCCTGCCTAATTCCTTCTCGATTATTCAAAAATTATAGTAGTATTTCTCAAGTGTATGTTATTTCCATTAACAAAAATTGTCCTTGAATTTAGGGGCCCACAACATGAAATTCTTGTGGGGAACTCTCTATTAGGCCCATGCCTCTTAAATGCACAAGAACTATTTTCCGTGCATTTTCTAAAAAATGTGGGCGCGGTTTCCTACGTCATGGGGAAGATACCATTCATTATGAGAGTTTTCTGTTCCAACCAAGAACCCAATTTTGCTCGTATATGATGTCTTTGAGAAAACTTTGCCCATTGGCTTACTGACATGAACGAAAACGATGAATCAGCGTCATAAACGTTCTTTTTGATGGCCAAATACCCTAAATTCTGGCAAAGTTTGGAGCCGAAGGGATAGAAACGTTCGTTTTTTTCTTTGTATGACATACCACTTTTGCTCATAAATATGCAAACTGACAACAGAATAAAACACAGAAAGCACCAAAAAACCGTCCTTTAGGCCTAAGTTGGAGAAATGGAAAACAGAAACGAAAAGAAATGTAGTAAAATGGGACGCATATCCAAGGACCGAGTTAAAACTCTTCCACTGCTTGTGCCAATTAGGGTGACAACTTCTACCGAGTCCATTCCATGAAGTTACAGCGGTCGTAATCCAACTTACAGAAGTCGCCGGGGAACGTGATTGTACTGGCCAGGCGGAGAGAGCGCGCGTGCCCGCAGCCGAACCTCGCTATGCGGGCTGGCTGATCCTTGAACCGTGTCACTCGACTCAGGAGATGCAATCACGATCGCCGGGCATATTGGATAATGATTGACGGAGAAAGGAGTAATGCCCTCCACGCGGTTCTGCCGAGTCACGGCGCTCGCGTCGCCGGCTGATTGGCCAGCAGATCGGAGAGGCACGACTTGGCTCATGGTCTGAAGTCCGTCTGTAACTCTGTTCTAAACTTGGGAACAACTTTGACGAAGTTGTGGTTTCATGACCCTGACTGAGAGTTGCCAGGATATTTCTTCAGGGGCAGATTTTCCTTTGGATGAGTGGCAAAACTATCATCAGCAACAAACCGGCAACACGTGTACTAAGGTTCAGGAATTTTGATCATGAACTAGATCTGCGGGGGAAAAAATTGTCGAATAAGAAATTTTTACTGGAATTCTGATAGGTTCTGAATCGTAAAAGGACGAGTTGCTGGTCAACAACATACATTTGGCTTGATTAGGCTTAATTTCACTCAACTTAAAAGTCAAGCAAAACTGTGAACGATTTTCCCATCGCAATATTAAAAAAATTGTGGAGATAGAGGGCCTTCCTTCCCCCAAAAGATCCCAAACAAAATTCAAGATTCGAAATCCATGCAGTTTTCCATAAAATATTAGGAGATAAAAACGATGCCGCAAAACGTGAACAGGGTAAATGAAAAAAATCTCAATTCTACGTTAACTGCTAGTAAATATCTTTCGTTTGAAAGACAATCTCGCATAAACCTTTTGCAAAAATAAAGGAGAGCACAAGGTCTCAAGTTGTAGGTTGTCATTTTGTTAAATAGATGCTGTCGTTCCTCCATACGTTATCGCCATTAAAACTCGACGAAAAATATCGACAGGGAATAACTGAGTGGAATTAAATTTGTTATAGAAAAACTAAGGCCAAGGGCGCCGTGACTGAAAATCGCCGTAACGGCGTCTGCTTAGAAGAAATGCTTTCACAGAGACAAAAGAGTAACGTCTCAGCAAAGGTTAATCCGGTTGTGGTTGGGCAGACTGCAAGATCTGGAAGCGGAAGACGCCAGGAAGACGAAGGGTGGAGAATAGAAACAGCCACTCCCCCGGGGGAGGGTGTTTTGGGCGGCTGGCAAGGTTGGATCCCCCATCAGATGCGGCTAAGGGATCGTGTCAGAAGAGACAAATGACGGAGGTCTATGGCTATGGATCTCCAAGGGCGGATCCGCGGGGGGGGGAGCAACAGGAGTCACGCCCCCCCAAAAGAGCCAATTTTTGGCAAATAATAAGAAAGCGATTTTTTGTATGTTTCATTTTCCTTCCTTCCATAAGCGTATAAAAAGCCCCCAAATGTAACCTCAGTCCTGAGAAAGACCAAAAGGTTACAGGAAAAGATTTCCAAAATTCCATCACCCAGGAAAAAGTCCTTTAGAATTTTTGGCTCCGGACCCGCTGTTATGGCTCGAACATAGTGAAGACGAGCACTGGAGAAGCATTAACTACGCCGACATCGGAAATAGGATGGGGTACGCAGTCAAAAGTCACACAGTAGAGTCATGAGATCGAGGAGGTGAGGTATCGTGCATGTGGGAACAGTTTGTCCCCCTCAAAAACAGATTGTTAATTACTTAATGCGCGGACCCTCCAGTTATTGACAAGTGAGATGAAAACAAGCAACACAGTCAGTTGTACAACTTTCTGTATAGTAATACCTTCTGAAAGTGAAATATTCGTCCGGTTTATCGAAACAGCATGACGTCTATAAGACGAAAAAAACGCATCTCCAAAAATGTTTCAAACAAAAGTTTGAAAACTTGATGACAAATAGGAAACTGACAAGCCACGGCTACATCAGGTATTTTTATCTCAAAGATTTTGTAAAAGTTACTTAATCTCATTAGGGAATTTTGTTTTGCATGCGACCCCTAAACCCCTCACCAGATTATGTTCTCGAAACAAGCAGCGTAGCCAACAAAATTGGCAAGGTTTTCACGGTCCTTCTCTGTAGAAAAAAAACCCAAATATTCTCCAAATTCCGCCACAAAGACCAAAATAATGAGCCTAAGCCTGAATTTCCGGAGTTATGCCATCTCGCGGTGATTCTTTCTGCCTGCGACGCCGAGCTAACAAAGAGGGAAAGAAAACGAACCTTTATTTGTCAAAAACCCAGCAGCGGGCACGACGTATGGATAGGAAAGCGAAGAAGAGAAAAGATAGATATTAACTCCTTGTTTTTCAAGGGTACACCGAGAAAGGAGGGGGGAGGGAATCCCCGCCGACTG